TGTCAAATAATACCATGCGGGACACATTCGTTTTTTCTTCGCGCGCGCACGCCGAAATCTCCAAAAACCATTGGGTTTTTAAGAATTTTAGCACCGCGCATCATAAAATCACACGAATCGCACCGTAGGTCCTCGAAAAACACCTGCACGACTTTTCAAAATTTCCACCCGCGCGCGCTGTCCGAATCCTAAAAAAACCAATGGTTTTCCAACATTTATGTTACATGAGCTCGCGCGAGCTACTTTCGCACGCTCTTGCAACGGGGTTCGCGCGCCTGCCAGGGGCCAGAACTCCGCTCTCTCTGTCTCTCTCTCTGTCTGCTCTCTGTCTCTCTCTCTGTCTGTCTGTGTCATGTATTGTATGTCACAATTGCAGGATGCTGGGCACACGCGCGCCCCGAATAAGTGACCAAGTTCTGTGGGTGTGTACCCCACGCCAGTGTAGTAGCCACGGTCGTCCGCACGCCACGAAGTGAAGTGTCCCAACGTCATAGGGCGGGAAGCTGGGTTTGGGTGGTCGCGAAGAGTCGTTTGGATATTTGGTAGAGCTTGAACTGCCCCCCCACGAAGTGGGGGTATTGTCTCGCGTCGCATGAAAACCCTGGCACTGGTGAGAACACTGAGCGTTCGGGTAAAATGATTGTTGTTGTTGTTGTTGTTGTTGTAACTCGGGGGGGATCAACCAAATTATTCTTCAGAAGTGAGAGTTTAACAACAACAACAACAACAATCATTTTCAGACTGCTCGCACTTATCTGCTCGCGTGTCATTCAGTATGCAGATCCCAGACACTGGATGCCCGCCCTTTTCGTCTTCGGTCGTACCCCCTTTCTGGGAGATATATTCATTCCCTGCCACGAAGGGCAGCAACGGGGCCACGAAGGGCAGCGAGCGAAGGCGACCGCGGAACCAGTACGGGCAGCGAGGGGCATCGAAGGCGGGCGAAGGGCAGCGGGCGGCGACTGCAGTCCCTAACGGGCTGGCCGGGCGGGCAGGCCCAGACGGGCGGGTCGACTGGGCAGGTCGCTGGAGCGTAAAATCTTGTTGAACCGCCAGTCAATAAATATGCAGCGGGAGCGCGATTCCTGAGTGTCGAGGAGCGGCATCTGGATAATTTGTGAGGAAATATCCAGCGGGAACCGCGATTCGGTGGTAAGTTGCGAGGAAGTCCCAAGCGAGAGCGCGATTCTTAAATGAATTGTGAGGAGGTATCAAGCGGAAGCCGCGATCCGGTGGTAAATTGTAATGAAGTCCAAAGCGAGAGCGCGACTCTTCAATACATTGTGAGGAAGTATCAGGCGGGAACCGTTGTTGTTGTAAAACGGGGGCCATCGACATAGTTTGACCTTCGAGAGCTTCCATGCTAAAACACAGGGTGCGAGCCCCGGGAAGGGCATTTCAATAGAAAAAACTCATGTGCACTGGACGGGGGGGATCAACAATAATTATTTTTCTGAATTGAAATTTCCACCATCATTTTAGTATTGTTCGCCCTTATCTGCTCGAGTGTCCACTAACGCGTATTTCCCAAACCCTCGATACCCGCCCTCTTCGTCTTCGATCGAATCCCTTTTGGGGGGTAGACCGTTCTTCCCTGCAGGCCGGGCCCCGGCAAGCGGCGGGGCGGCCGCGGACCGTCGGCCTGGCCAGCGGCAGCGCTGATCGGCGGGGTGGCCGCGGACCGTCGACCCGACCCCAAGAGGGACAGACAGGGGACCGACCACGACGACGACGACGACGACGACGTCGACGTCGACGACGACGGCGACGACGACAATTGACGACGACGACGGCGACCTCGACGACGAGCAAAAGCGAGAGCGAGAGAGAACGACAGTAGGGCCACGAAGGACACGAAGTAGGCCACGAAGGGCGACAGCGGGGACACGAAGGGAATGCGTATGGGGCCACGAAAAGCGCGAACGAGCGGGGGCCACGAAGGGCATGCGTATACTGTGCCGCGGAGGGCAAGGACGGGGCCAATGAGGGCAGCAACGGGGCCACGAAGGGCAGCGAAGGGGCCACGCAGGGCGACAGCGGGGCCACGAAGGGCAGGAAGGGGGCCACGAAGAGCGACAATAGTGCCACGAAGGGCATGCGCATGGGGCCACGACGGGCGCGAACGAACGGGGGCCACGAAGGGCAGATCATGCGGGGCCACAGAAGGCAACGATGAGGCCACTGAGAGTAGCAAAAGGGCCACGTAGGACAGTGAGGGGGCCACGAACGGCGACAGCGGGGCCACGAAAGGCATGCACATGGGACCACAACGGGCGCGAACAAACGGGGGCCACGAAGGGCATACGTATACTGGGCCGCGGAGAGCAAGGACGGGGCCACTGAGGGCAGCAACGGCACCACGAAGGGCAGCGAGGGGGCCACGCAGGGCGACAGCGGGGCCACGAAAGGGCATGCATATTTGGCCACCACGGGCGCGAACGAGCGGGGGCCACGAAGGGCATACATATATGGGGCCGCGAAAAGCAGCGAGGGGGCCACGGAGGGCAGCGAGGGGGCCGCGAAGGGCTGCAACGGGGCCACGAAGGGCTGCGACGGGGCTTCGAAGGGCAGCGAGGGGGGCACGAAGGGCTACGACGGGGCCACGAAACAAAGCGAGGGGGCCACGAAGGGCTGCAGCGGGGCCACGAAGGGCAGCGAGGAGGCCACGAGGGGCTGCAACGGGGCCGCGAGAGGCAGCGAGATCCCGATTCTTAGGTAATCTGTGAGAGAGTCCCAAACGTAAACGCGACTCCTGGGCGCCTGGGTGTCGGGAGCGCGGTGTTTGAGGAATTTGCAAGAATTTCCAACGCAAGGACGCGATTCTTCAGTAAATTGCAAGCATGCCCCCAGCGAGAGCGCAGCGCGACTCCAGAGCGCCGGGAGAGCGATTCCTGAACAAATTGCGAGGACGTCCCACGCAAGAGCGCGATTCCTGAATCACATGCAAAGAAGTCTCGGGCGGGAGCGGGGGTCCTGGCCAAATTGCGAGGAAGTGTAAGGCGGGAGCCGTTGTTGTTGTTGTTGTAACACGGGGGCCAACGATACAGTTTGACCCTCAAGGTTTTCCCTGATAGAAAAACAAGGTGCGAACCCCGGGAAGGGCACTTCAATCGAGAAAGAACAATGTGCACCGGACGGGGGGGATCAACAATAATTGTTCTTCAGAAGTGAGAACTCAACAACAACACGAACAGCAACAACAGTAACAACAACAGTAACAGCAACAGCACCAGCACCAGCACCAGCACCAGCAACCACAACCACAACGACAACGACAACGACAACAACAAGAACAACAACAACAACAATCACTAGCACGTGGGGACACTCCGTTCTCACCAGTGCCAGGGTTTTCATAGGAGGCGGGCAATACCCCCACTTTGTGGGGGGGCCGGTTCAAGCTCTACCAAATTTCCAAACGACTCTTCGCCACCACCCACACCCAGCTTCCCGCCCTATGACGTTCGGACACTTCACTTCGTGGCATGCGGACGACCGTGGCTACTATTCAGGGCCCCGCGGCCGACGACGACGGCGTGCGCGCGCGAAGAAAAAACGAATGTGTCCCGCATGGTATTATTTGACAGGGATGATGGCCCTGGCAGGTGCGCAACCGTTGTTGCAGAAGTTCGAAAAAGTTGCTCGCAAAAGCCCGTTTGACAGAAATGTTTAAAAAGTGTTGGGTTTCCTACGAATCCGCAAGAGCGCGCGGGATGAGATTTTGACATTTGTTTGTTGAAAAACCATTGGTTTTTTGATGTTTTTATGTTAAAATCGCTGCGAACACTAAGGTTTTGGAAGGATTTCGTCTTGCGCGCGCGAATGTCCACTTTACCTTATTTTTTGCAAGGGATTCTTGAAATTTGATTATATTAGAACAAGAAATGTCATTTTCTATTGTTTTTTTGCAAGGGAAAGCGGATTACAACAAAACAGCCGGATCCTGTACACACCCTCTTTTCTGAGGCTTCCTTACGAAAATTATGAAAATGTAGCTGCGGCCTAGGCGGCGCAGGGGGGGCGCGCACCAGGGGGCCCAACAATAATTATTCTTTAGAATAAATAATGTTCAACAACAACGACGACGACCACGACGACGACGACAGCAACATAAACAACAACAACAACAAACTGTCAGGAACCTCTGCGTTCCAGGTTTCTATCCAGGAGCATTGCGTTTTGCACTTGCTGGGAAGAGGCGTCACACCGCCGTGGAACGGTGATCATGGATACAAATCCAGCCGCCAGGGGCGAGGCTTTTATCCATATCGAATGCGCCCCGGGCGTCTGGGGAAAGGAGCCCGAACCTCCAAGATGCATTGGAGATGGACATACATCTTACCCGCAACCTCCCCCCTCGATATTCAGAGGTCGAGGGCAACACTTCCCGAGAGGGAGGCAGAGAACCGGGAAGTCGGGGTGCAATTCCTTGAATGGTGGAGTCAGCCCTGGCGTTGCTGCAGCGGTGGCTTCACGGTTATCCCAGTCCAGTTCAGTTCCGCTGAATCCTGCCCGATCTGGTTCAATCCAGGCTCAAGTAATGCCCGCCAGCCCGGTTCAATCGCTTGTCAATTTGGCATTTAAACAGTTCAGATCTGTAATAAGCCGGATTAGAGGGCGATCGAGCAGAAAGTCTTCGTGGGAGCGACGATGAGTTATCATCTCTCGATGTCGTCTCAATGGGCCTGTGCGGGCAGCATCTAGACATATCCGTATCCATTGCCTCGCGGCCGAGCCCCGAGGCCGCAACCCCATGGATACGATAAGTTTCTCCGTGTATGCTTCGCGCGGAGCGTATCCGTGCGACCACGTATCCACGGGTCCGTGGCCTCGAATTTCAGATCACGAGGGCGTGGAAACAGGATGCGTTCGCCAGTCGTGACACGAAAAGCTCCCAGGAGCTGCCTGCCAAGGCAGCGAGTTGCCAGTCAGCCAGTCTTCCTCCTCCTCCTCCTCCTCCTCCTCCTCCTCCTCCTCCTCCTCCTCCGCCCGCGGCTCAGGCTGGGGCTCTACTTCGTCTTCGCCCTGGCCGTGAACCTCGCCTTCGCCACGTGCGTGATGGCGAGCCTGCCGGAGCCCGCCGCCTGCCTCCGTTGTGAGATGGCAGGGGGCCTTTGAGAGCCCAGGTCGAGGATTTCGAGTCCTCCTCCTCCTCCTCCTCCTCCTCCTCCCCCTCCTCCTCCTCCTCCTCCTTCTCCTCCTCCTCCTCCTCCTCCTTCTCTGCCCGCGGCCGCCGCCCCTTTGCGCTGGCCCGTAGGCCCCAGAAGGTGGTTGGAGCCTGGACCTGCAGCATGCCTCGCGCGGGCGGGACAGAAGGAGGGCGGCGGGTCTCGAGTGTTCGTGTGGAGGGTCCTTGTGGCCTGGAGACCGGCTTCGGAGGATTCTGTGTGGATGGCGAGGAGAGGAGGAGGGGGGCCCCGCGGCCAGGACCTGAGCGTCAACGACCTCTTTTTCGCGTTCGTGCACTTGGTCGCCAGATGGCGCGCGAAGAGGGGCACAGGGACCTACGGGAGGCAATGGGGGGACTGCACGGTCGGTGTCGGTCCGCTTTGGAAGCGGGGTCGGCGATGGCGAGGAAGGGGAGGGGATGGCGATGGCATTGGTGAGTATGATTGCAGTGGTGATAGTCGTGATGATGATGATGATGATGATGATGATGATGATGATGATGATGATGATGATGATGATGATGCTGATGATGATGATAATGATGATGATGATGATGATGATGATGCTGATGATGATGATGATGATGATGATGATGATGATGATGATGGTGGTGGTGGTGGTGGTGGTGGTGGTGGAAGTGGTGGTGATGAGCGTGGTTGGAAGTATGAGAGTGAAGGCTTGATTGTAGATAGTATTTCTTGCTCGTGTCGTTCGTGGCGTGTTTGCGATGCTGTCCGCGAATTTCCCTGGCCCTTTCGGCGGGTGGCGGGCAACATTGTGTTCCTGCTGCTGCTTCGGTGGGCGGGAGCCTGTCGGTGTCGTGGGGTGTCCTGGGGTGCCATGGAGTGTCGCGGTGTCGTGGTGGCTTGGCGTCGCGGTGTCTTTGCGTTGTGGTGCCGTGGCGGCGAAATTAATGAGGACCACTGCGGTAACATAGACACAGCTCTTGAACGACGTGAGCTCAACCCCGGGGGAGGACTGCCAGGGGCACCCCGGGTATGCTAAGCACCCCTTCCCCTCCCGCAGCCATCCCAGGGCGTCCCAGCCAGAGCCGCCCCGGAGCTCTCCTCCTCCTCCTCCTCCTCCTCCTCCTCCTCCTCCTCCTCCTCCTCCTCCTCCTCCTCCTCCCCGTCCTCCTCCTCCTCCTCCTCCTCCTCCTCCTCCTCCTCCTCCTCCTCTCCCCGAAGCCCGGGGACCCACGGCAGAAGTTCCGGACGTCCCACGACGTCCCACATGCCTTCCAGACTGCTCCAGGACGGCCCAGGATGGCCTCGAGACGGCCCAAGAGGCCCCCAAGACGCCCCAAGATGGCTCCAAGAAGAGAAGCCCCTCGAGGGCCTCGAACAGCCGAGAATCGCCCCATCCCTTTTCAGGAAGCACACAAGCTGCTGCATATTCATTGTACTGTCCTACCAGCGTCCCCGGCGGCTCTGAGAGGCCCCCCGACAGCGGTCCCCAAGGCCGCCGAAGAGGTTCCCACGAAGGCCCCAGGAAACCCAGGATGGCCCCAAGACGGCCCACGAGGCGCCCCAAGGCAGCCCAAAAGCGGTTCAAGAGGGCCCCGAGAGGCCCAAAAGATGCCTCCAAAGCGCCCCCCCTAACGGCCCTTCGATGGCCCCGTCGCCAGTGTGGCACCGGTAGCATCCTGTCGTCCACTATGTCGGGAGCCTCGAGACGGGGGTCAATGCAAACAGGGGTCAGCCAGGGCACTGGATCCTGCAGGATCCTGCGAAGATCCCCTCTGGCTGACCCGGGTTAGCGAGCCGCTCGTGGCCGCGAGGCGGCCGCGCCTATTGGCTGACCCGGGTTTGCGAAGACTTGCGTTGCAGTTTTTTTTCCTGCATTGCAGTTGTTTGGTTTCCTGCTGACCAGGGTCTGGATTGACCCTGGTCAGAAGATCCCCGAACTAGGACCCCTTCAGTGCAAACACTGATTGGGGGTCTGTAGACGATGATTATCAGTATTCGGATGTATATACATAATTCTATAAAAATGATTATATATATAGCTTTTTGAATTTACACTTAGATAAGTACGAACTATAATTGGTGCATTTCTTTGCATCGTTGGATTCTTCACTCTTCGCGTGTCCCCATCCGCGAGTAGCACGACCTTTCTGACGCCGCGCGGGTGCCCCTCTCGCGGTCGCGATCAAAAGAGTATCCCCACCCGCCAACTCAGAGACCTTGCCCATGATAGTTGACGCGACAAGGAACGAAGATACACCTAGAGTGAAACAAAGCGGGCAACCAGGATGAACATAGAGATCTCTTGGAGCAAAGGAGTGGCCTTGGAGGGCCTCTTCGGGTCATCCCAGGGGCCCGCAAAGTGGCGAGGCGAGGGGGAGGAGGAGGCACACCGGATCTTGGTTCGGGCCCTCGTGGGTTCTTGTGTTCTCTTGGGCCCGTCTGGGGGCCCCCCTGGGAACCTTAGAGAGCCTCGTGAGGCCATACTGGAGGCGATCGATCAAAGCGGGGGGGGAATCACGATTCTCCTTCCCCCTTGGGTGCCGTCTGGAGGCCTCTTGGGCCAATCCGTGTGGCTCTTTGGGGCCATCTCGGGGCGATCTTGAGGCCTCAAATGCGCATCGGGAGCGGAAAGACGAGAAGACACAAACCATTGACGGTTTTCTGTGTTTGAAGGATGTGCGTCTCCTGGGGGAGTCTGATAAGGGGGCTCGGAGAGCATTTCGAACCGTCTGGTGGCCCTCGTCGGGCCTCTTGGAGTTATGTCGGAAGCCATTTGAGCCATCTTCGGCCATCTTGAGCCGCCTTGGAAGCCATCTTGGAGCATCGGAGGCCCTCTTGGAATCATCTTGGGCGAAGAATGGCCCCCGTGCCACCTCGCGAACACCTCCTGCAAACATTTCAGGGAGGGGAGCGGAAGGGCACCCCTCCCCAAAGGGGAGACGGGTTTCGGAAGAGGACAGATAGCACTCGTTTGACCACCTACGCCCAGAGGGCTTGTGGGATTCGTTACATTAGTGCATATCTATGATGGGAGTGTGAATGTGACGCATGTGCCCGACGTCTCCAGGCGCCCAATCGGCCAGCTACATGCAGTCGATTCGCCACCCCCTGCTTCTGCCGCCCCCCTATCGTCCGCCCTGGGAGGTGCCAGAGAGGCATGCTGAGGAGGAACGTCCCTGACCTTATCTCTTTGCGAAGCCAAAAGACAACACTCAGGAGGGGAACAAGAACACAGCAGACACAAGTCACCGTCGACTCCCGGGAACAGGAGGGAACATATAGGAAGTGGGGGGGGGGGAAGGCGAACACCCAGACAGCATGAGAAAATGTGGTGAATCATGGGATCTGCGTCCGTTTCTTTGCTTGTCCCAGGGCCCCCCTTAATGCGACGGAAGGCTCTGGGCTGCGGTCGACGCGGACCCTCGCCGGGCCCTCGGACCCTCGGACCGTCAACGAAACTGACTCGGGCTGGGCGGGCGGCCCCCCAGGGAAGGGGCCCCGACCTCTGAGAGTCCACGGCTTGAAGCACTCGGGACGTCGAAGGCGTGGGAAGCGCGAGTCCCAGACCCCCATTGCGCCGTGAAGAAGATCGTGACGGGAGACGTTTCGGTATTTTCCGCCTCTGGGGGCCCTGGCCGGGCCTCGGGACGGTCAGACAAACGACTCAGGGTGAAAAGCCGGTCCCGGGGAAGGGGTCCAGACCTCCTGAGGTCGAAGTTGCGACAAAAATCACAACGTCGGGGGTCTGGGGTTGGACTCCAATGGCTGGACCAGGACGAGGAGCATGGGGAGCTGCGAGGCGCGTGCTCCAGTGCCCCTGCTGCACAGTGGTTGGGGGGCGCCTGACCATGAGGGCTTCAGCATCAGCAGCAGCCTGGTGGGAGCTGCCTCAGGTCGGCGCTCTCTCCGACCAGCTGGAGATTATCCTGAAGCAGGTCTGCGGCACGTCCTCTGTTCTCCTGCCTTCGCTGCGTCCTCTTCCGGCTCCTCCCCACCGGGCCTCCCAGCCCAAGAACCATATTGCGGGCAATATTTCTGTCCATATCCACTGCAGTATGGAGTTTCGGGCTCCCTCCCCAAGAAACCCGAGGCGCACTGGATACGGATAGATTTGCCCCCGAGAGGCTCGATTTTTCTCCATATCCAGTGCGCCTCGGCCTTGTGGCGCCGCTTCCGAAAAAGTCCAAGAGGCACTGGATATGGACATAAATCTTGTCCGCACACATATCGTCGAAGCGCGTCTCGGCGGTCCTGCTGTTTCACCGGGGCGAGTGGCACACGCACCGCCGCACCGCTTGGCAGGCGCTCCCAGACGCCCGCAACACCCACTCGTCTGCCGCACCGGGCTCGATCGGCTTGCAGGGTGGTTCGTTTGAGCTCCAACCAGCTTGGCATCGCTCGGACGTGTGCATTTTTCCTTCGGCGAGGACCATTGAGGAGCATCCTTGATCATTTGGCGGAAAAACCACGCACGAAACTCAAACAAAACACAGGGGATGGATGTCCGAGCGATGGCCAGCCAGCTGCTTTCAAATCTTGTCGGCAAGTTGCGTGTGTCTCCTTTGGGCATGAAAGGCTCCGAACGTTCCCTTCCGTCGTGTGCGGCGCTCAGACACTTGAGCGAGTGCCGAAACATCAGCGAAGGGATCGACTCGATAGACGGGCGATCACGTAATGTTAGTCGTTGGGAGATGGGATGTATTTCAAAGAGGGGATTGGCGTAGTCGATGGAACAGGGGGCTGACAAGGATGACCTGAATTATAGTATTAAGGGAAGTGCCAGTGACACATCGCAAGACCAGAGGCAGAAACATAACGATGCAAAGACATCAAAACATGACCGTGGTCTAGCGGAAGAAAGGTAATTAGTAACCGGATGGCTTGAATGGAGTGAGTGAAAGTTTCTGCTTTGACGAAGCACACCCGGATTTTAGACTACTGCTGTCTTTCAGCATCAGTGGCGTTCTGCGTTCCAGCAGCAACAGGCCGGAGACCAGAAAACAAGTGGGGGGAGGATGAAAGGAATGTGAAATAAGAGAAGTGTAGGATGATGCAGAGGAGGAGGAGGAGGAGGATGAGCAGGAGGAGGAGGAGGAGCAGGAGGAGCAGGAGGAGCAGGACCAGTGTATACCCTAGATGCATCAACGGTCTTGCAAGACCCCATCTTTTCGTATAACTATATAAGACTGTGTGCCTTCATTGCGGGAAGTGCGTGGCCCATAAGAAGACAGCCGCTAAAAAGTATTGAATCGTACCAGCCTCCATCTTTGGAACTTCAACGCTGCGGATCAAGCTAGATTTTCCGTCCTGACAATCCCAGATCGAGACAGATCACCATCCGTGGAAATCCAACGCCCAACGCCGCGAAATCGACGTAATTGTCGCGTGCTTCCAACCTTACGTCTTGCCAGAACGCGCTTCCTGGTACTTCCACCATGCGAATCCTTGAACATGCTGCAGCATGCGAGACGAATGTGCGCGGCGCCACGGCGAGAGCCACTCTTTGAGAAGGAGCCGCCCTCCATCCTTGAAGCTGCCGCACACCTTAGAGACGACCGTGCCTGGCGCAGAGGCGAGAGCCAGCTGTGGAGAGCCGCCTGTCCCCCACCCTCGAAGCTGTTGCAGCCTGGTCCGGCGAACGATCGCGGCGCCGAGGCGAGAGCCGCATTCCAGAGACCACCCGGCTTCCACCTCTTTCCAGCTGCCGCAAGGTTTCAGGACGAGCGTGCGCGGCGCCGAGGCGAGAGCCACATCTTGAACACCGCCCACGCTCCACCCGCGCAGGCGTTGCATGCTCTCTGGAGCTTCGGGACCGCACGTGGCTGTGGAGCCTCGGGCGAAATGCCTAGACGCGCCCTACTCACACGCCTGGCGGCGCGACAGGGAGGACTTCTGGATAAGGTGTGTGCAGGAGCAGCCAAGGAGGAGGATTGACTGTTAAAACAGGGGTGGGGAGGAAGAGTCGCGGGGCGAGGGAGGATGAGGGTAATGAGGAAGTTGATGAGGGTGAGCATTAAGCATAATGGGGATGATGGTGATGGGGTGGTGATGATTAGGAGGAGGAGGAGGAGGAGGAGGAGGAGGAGGAGGAGGAGGGGATAGAGGAGGAGATAGAGGAGGAGGCTGAGGAGGCAGAGGGTAATGTTGGATTTCGAAGGATGGGATTGAGAAATGGATGCGCAGCAGCAGACAGAAGAGATGCATGGGGGGAGGGTGAGGATGAGGATTTGAGTCGCGAGGGCGAGGATGCGGACGAGGATGGTGGAGGACGGAACAGGATGCGGGTGGGGATGACGACGGGGGCATGGATGCAGACGAGGCAGCAGAGGAAAGCCTGAGGGGACCGAGGAGGATCATGGACGGGATGGGGTGGAATGTGCGCGACGACGACGACGATGGATGGACGGCGACGACGACGCCGACGCCGACGACACCGACGACACCGACGACGCCACCGGCGTCGACGACGACGACACCGACGACGCCGCCGACGACGCGGATGCCGACGACGCCGACGACGCCGACTACGCCGACGACGCCGACGACGACGACGACGACGACTACGAAGATGACGACGGTGATGACGACGACGCCGATACCGACGCCGACGACGACGCCGACGCCGACGCAGACGGCGCCGACGGCGCCGACGATCTCGCCGACGCCGCCGACGCCGACGCAGACCGCGACGCCGACGACGCCGCCGACCACGACGACCACGACGCCGACGAGGAGGAGGCGCAGTGGCTCGATGCCCCTTCTGGCTCGAGGCGGGGCCGCGGGCCGGGCCGCGGGCGGGCGTGGGCGGCGCAGCCCGCAGGCCGGCGCCCGGCGGCGGCCCGGCGGCCCGGCGGCCCCGCAGCGGCCCTCGGCCGTCTCCTCGGGCCGCGGTGCTCCTCCACCTTCTCCTCCTTCGGTGCTCCCTCCCTCTCCACCTCCTCCTCTTTCTCCCCCACCCTCCTGTTCCCCCGGTCCTCCTCCTCCTCTTGCTCCCCCGCCCTCCTGTTCCCTCTGTCCTTCTCATCCTCTTTCTCCCCCACCCTCCTTTTCCCTCAGTCCTTCTCCTCCTCCTCCTCCTCCTCCCCGTCCTCCTCCTTCTCCTCCGCCTCCATTCCTTTCCCTTCTAACTAACTCCTCCCTGTCGCACCCCGAGGCTGGTCGAGAGGGCGGGCCAGGCGTTTCGCCTGAGATTTTCCTCACCACATTCTGACCCTGAATCGTAAACACTGGCAGTAGTTTCACTCATTGAGGGCGGGCAGTTTTCAAAATGTGGCTCTCGCCCTAGCGCCTCGCACATTCCACTTCAATTGTTGCAAGAGTTTCAAGGATTGAGGGCGGGCTGTTTTCAAAATGTGGCTCTCGCCGTAGCGCCGTGCACATTCTTTGTAAGCATGTTCAAGAGGTTTGCGAATTGAGTGCGGTTCGTTTTCAAAATGTGGCTCTCGCACTAGTGCCGCACATTCTTTTTTGTTTTAGACCTGCACGTGTTTCACGGATTGAGGGCGGTTCGTTTTTTTCAAACATGTGGTTCTCGCTTCAGCGTCGCGCAAATTTGGTTAAACATGATGCAAGAGTTTCGAGGATTCCCAGGGCCATTGTTTCAGAAATGCTGTTCTGGAATGGTTCAGGATTTCGAGGGCGCAACAGTTGAGCTGATTCGCGGTGTTGAAGTTCCAGGGACGGTGCTCTGGCATGACTGAAGATCGCCAATACGCAGGGGCGTGCCCATCCCCCACCCGATGCCCTGGGGGCGCCAGTGACTCTCGCTCACTCGGAGGAGGAGGAGGAGGAAAAGGGGGAGGAGGAAGAGGAGGAAAAGGAGGAGGAGGATGAAAAGGGGGAGGAGGAGGAGGAGGGAGGAGAAGGAGAGGAGGAGAGGAGGAGGAGGAGGAGGAAGGAGGGAGGAGGGAGGAGGGGGGAGGAGGAGGGAGGAGGAGGGAGAGGAGGAGGAGGAGGGAGGAGGAGGAAGGAGAGGATGAGGAGGAGGAGGGGAGGAGGGGGAGGAGGGGGAGGAGGGGGAGGAGGGGGAGGAGGAAGGAAAAGGAGGGAGGAGGAGGGGGGAGGGGGAGGACCCCCCTGGCAGCGTGGGCACGCGGGGCCGGCCCGGCGCTCCAGGGAGCCGGCACCCCGCACCTCCCCGCGGCCTCGCGGCCGAGGCCGCGGCCCCGCGCCCTGCGGTCGTCCAGGCGCGTTGATCGAAGTGGGGCCCGTCCCTCTACAGGAGGAATGCTCTCAGGAGGGGAAAAAACACACAGACACAATGAATCGGCGATTCCCAGAGAATATGGGAAAACATGGGAAGTGGGGGGGAAGACACAAACCCAGCAAATATTGCCAAAATATGGGGGATAATCTTATTTGTGTGTATTTATTTGTGTGTCCCAGTTCCCCTTCATGCTCAAAAATAGTCCAAAGATAGTCTGGGGACGATTTTTGTTTACCCTTCTTGAAACATGTTGGGGGCATTGTTGGACTGTGTCTTTATCTTTCGTCCAAAATCCCCATGTAGGGGGACAAGCCCGATTTATGCGTTGATGGCGAGCCCGGCGTCGACGTCGGCCTTCGTCGGCGCGGAGTTCCGGTGCGCCCAGGCCCCAGTTCCGTTGCTGGGGGTCGATGTCCACGAAACGGTGATCGATTTACACAGGGCTCGTACCCTGAGATCCTGTCGTCTCAATTTTTTCGAGCCTGGCGTCTTCGCCTTTTTCGGGCACTGGGACACACAGATCGATCCGGCTCGAACAATGTCGCAGGTAGATGGGGTACGGGGATCCAGGCGCGTGTTTTTTTTGTTACTATGTTGCAATTGTTTGGCAACGTCGGATCTCAGGGTACTGGGGTTACCAACCCCAGTCAGACGCCAGCTCAGCACATCAGAGGCGCCGCCCTCTCGGATGAGGCGTGGCAAAAACGAGGTGGGGGGCATACATGGGGA